AAGACCCGCCCTTTCCCCTTGCACAGGCACCCTAGCTATTAAACGCGTGTGAGAGCATGCACGAACCCATTTCTCCTCATGCACGCTCTGTTTAGAAGTTGCTGTTTGCATCGCTCATACAAGAAGATTTGCAATTCTTCCACTATGTCAGACTCACCACCGGTAGTTGAAAATGGGGACGACCACGTAGGACGGCCTTATGTAAACATATCACCAGAATGATTGACAATTAGGAGGACCACTTATTTAGACTTAGACAGATTTATTTGTCATTTTGTTTACTGTACATAAGTGCAGAACAAAAGAAATTTCATTTAGAAACAGTTTCTAAACAGACAATTTATATTTTTTTTTAAGTGCTGCCTTGAAAATAGTAAAAAAAAATATATAAAAACAATATTATAAACATGTTAATATAAATTTACACTTCTATCATTTTTAAGTTTTTTTTATATATAAAGATAAAATATAATAAAATACAATACAATAACCCTTTCTAGAAAACATTCAGCAGTCTATTGGCATTAAGGCCATTAGATTGCTGATGGACTGTTCTCCCTGCTGCCCTCTGGGTAGCAGGGAGAACAGTCCATTGTGGGGGTGTGAGGGGGTCATTTATGATGTTACCGGCTCGAGACACGCAGCGCTGGCATGAGATGTCTTTTATGGAAGGGAGAGGAGCCCCGATAATCTTCTCTGCTGTTCGCACCACTCTCCTCACTTTCTTTCAGTCTGAGGCGCTGCAGTCTCCACACCACACAGTGAGACAGCTGGTCAGAACGCTCTCTATGGTGCTTCTGTAAAAGGTGGAATTTAGATGATCCACCAGATAAGCTAGAGTTAAAATAAAAAGATAATTTATGAGGCATTAACATCCAGTAATCCACCAACATCACTGACCAATAATCAACATAATCCTTTTCAGTGGTCATTTGAGGCAGCTGTAGTCTTCTGCTGAAATACCAGCTTCAGTTCACTCATTACATTAAGTAAAAACTGTTACTTAGAGTGGAACTCTCAAGTCTTTCTTGCACAAGTATATGTTGAGTTTGAAATTTTAATTATGCAACTTAAGACCATTTTGGTATTTAGATGAGCAAAACACTTGCAAATGTGATTACAAACCTAGATGCACAGAGCCCTGACTGCTGTTTTCACATTTTTATTTGGAAACAATTTGAAAACAATCATTGATCCTCCTCTTCAAATATTGGATGTTATGTTGGTCCATCAGATAAAATGTAAGTATTTACATTAAAATTTCTTAGTTTTTTTAATGAGATAATTAGTGTTATAAATCATTATGCAGCATATGCATTAAGTCACATAAGACAAATATAAAACAAATGATGTTTCTTTATTCTAAATAATCATTTCAATAATAAGAAACCATAAGGATTTTTAAAGTGTGTGTTTCTTATACTTCCACAACAATGAAGCTCCACTGGCTCTCTGGTGTCGTCTGATACCAGACTTTTCTGCCTCTTAAAAAGTAACAAGCGAGTGAAACCAGATTCCTGATAAGGTTAGAGTGCTCGAGCAAAGTGCAAGATTTCTGCTGTATGCCTTGTTGTGGTATTTTGTAGACACCACACACAGAACACACGTGCACAAATTCAAGAAGGGTCCTCCTACAGCCTCATCCACCCTTGATTTTTTTCACACACCAACAGCATTCACTGCAGCGCGAAAACATCAAAACGCTTCACAGTTCTCTTATTCTTTGACCTTTGAAGAAAAAGAAGAGGAAAAGAAAAAACTTTTTACATCAGAGTGTAGCGTGGATTCTCAGGGCCTAAATACATGTGCATTTAGTGAGATAAGACACACATCAGGACTTTTTTTTTAAAACATACTGAAAGACAACAGTCTGAAAGGATGGTGGCAGAAGTACTGATAATCCTGATGATAAAGATGGCAGAAGCTTACATGCCTGGCTCTGAAACCAACGTGAAACATGGATATGGAGCTGGTTCCCCAGAACTGATGCAAAGCTCATGCAAGTCGGTGGGAATTGGAGTCAGAGTGATTTCTTCCAACTTTTCCAGCAACACCTCGTGCCTGTGAGTAAATATAAACGCACTTACAGGAACAGACATGGAAGTAGATGCTATTTTTGGGTGCAGTCTGTTGTCTACATGTATCATTGGATGTGAAAGATATGCTTGATCTTTAACAATTGAGACACCAAGATTTGGAGATTGTGAGTAGCTGTTTTCTCATTTGGCTAAGATTTAATATGCATTCATTCTTTAACGGCCTTGTCAACCTCCAACGTGCATTTTGTCGAGCAAACGGTCAGCATTTGGTTGATCAGGCAGTTAAAGAGTTAGCAGGTTTTCCTCTTGAAAACAGAGAATTTTACTAAAGCATTTTAAATAAAACTGCCTTTATCTCCAGTTTGCCTTTTTATTTATGTTTGTCTTGCAATAAGTTTTAGAAAACTGACTTCTTTTTTAAACTCTTAGTTCTTAAAGCAACCCAAAATATAGTAAATATAATAATACTGATTTCTCCTAATGCAGTTAATTCTACCACCTTTTGTGTGTACGGTACAAAAGTAAAACAAGCTATTCTTAAATTTTGTATTTATTTTCTGAATAACCAAAACAGTTGCTAAAAATTGACATCTTAAAACTATAGCATGCATTTGTATCCAGCTCTCCTTTAAAGTATTTCACTGCAATTACAGCTACAGATTTTTTGGATATATTTCTATAAAGGCTGAATATCTTACCAATTCTTCTTTGCAAAATAACAAAAAAATCAGTCATTCTACATAAAGAACGTTTATAAGCATTAAGTTTTTCAACTAGTAACATAAATTCCGAGTTAAACTATAACTCCACTGATCCTCTTATTACTCCTGAGTTTTTTCCCTGTTCCTGGTAAAGAAGCCTATAGTATTATGCTGCCATCAGAATATTACATGGTATGTGGAATGTGTGTTTATCATTTGTTTTTCATCCAACAAGGAATTTTACATGTTGGTCTAATCTGAACAGAAAACCTTCTTCCACCTGTTTGCTGTGCTGTGGTTATGACTGACAAATTAAAAATGTAGCTTCTTATGGCTTACTTATGGATTCCCTATGCCTCTCTTCAATAAAGGCCAGATTTGGAGACTGCAAGTCGAATTGTTGTCCTGTCAACCGTTTTCCCCCCTGATATGTGGATCTCTGCAGCTCCTTCAGGGTTTAATTGATGCTTCTGCCTTTAAGTTCTATTTGCTAACAAAAGTTTTAGGCTTTAAACATTTTTTTTATTTTAACAATGAGTTACATTCATTGATGGGTGGTGGTAAGTATTTTCTATTTATTTGTATTTTTTTTAATGATTGCGCTGGAATTTTTGAAATGATTGAAATGTTTCCTGTGTAGAATGTACCTCCTCTTTTGCCTGTAGACTGCTGGAGATAGGCAAAAGTCCCCCTGTGACCCTAAAGGACAATTTGTAGATTAAAATGGAGCTGAATCTATGTAACTGCCAGCCACACTTTTCAGGTTTTACATGGCAAAATTATATTCTTTACTTTTTGTTGGTCCATCAAACAAAAATCTTTCGAAACACATTATAGGTGATGGTTATAAAGCAACAAAAGTATGCATGTAGTTTTTCAAAATGTATTTGACTATTTGGAAAGCATGCCATAAGGATACATCATGTCAAAAGCTCCATTTGTTTTACACTTGTTTATGAATAAAGAATCCTATTGCTGCAGGAACAAGTAAAGACTTCTCCAGAGACTTGGTGTGAAACAAAAATAACTATCTTCACATTCCTCTTACCATAAAGTATTTTTTAAAAACAATGCAATATTACACAATCTTGTCTTGTGCATGTGCATATTCCTATGCATTGCTCAAACATTTTCATTTGGCTAAGTCTTGTCCTCATGGTCTTAAAGATGATTTCATTGAGAATTAAAAACAACACAACTCTGATCTGCCCCAGCTTCTTGTGCAGATTACAGCATTCATTGGAACTCTCTTGTACACAAACACATTGAAACTTAAAACCATAGTTGCACTGCCAATGGTTTCAATGGGGTTTATAGCTTTAGGGTACCTGAAACATGGCATCATCTGCAAAAAAGAAAATATATCACTTAAATGTTCCCAAATGAGACAAGCTCTAAGATACTGTCTGCCAGCCACAACAGGTGTCCAACAACCACCTGGTACAATTTTTACTTTGTGCCAAGAAAACAAAATCATGTCTTTCTTTTGAATAATCTTGATATTGTTTAAAAGTTACCGACATACTCCTACTGCACCATGACTAAAGTCACTCTTAGGGTTAGAGTTATGACCCCCTCAGAACTTGAAATAAACTAAACTTAAACTAAACTTGAAATAGTTACCGGTATCCCTAAATAGCTAAAACTGGGGTTGCCACAATTCCCTTAAAGTATAAAACGGCCCTTTACGTGACAGTTAAACATTGCATAATGTATTGAAGTACAACCTCCTTAGCTTCGTATCAGCTGCTGTCATGGTTGCTGGGAGACGGACTCCCCTTACCTACATTACTCTCTGTCACCCATGTTTACATCCAATACTCCACCATTTCTTTAGAAGAAAATGTTTTCACAAGTACAGACGTGAATGAAAATAAGCAAAGCCTTGGCTGAAAAGTCTGAAGGAGGATGAGAATGAGGAATATTATAAAATCTGTTGGGCTCACACGAAACTGATTGCTAATGCCATTTGGTAGATTTTACTGTAGACATGAATAACTGTGCAAAAGCCTTTTGATAGGGCACTGTATTATTATTTATTCATTGCCTGCTATATGACTTTAAATGCAGCAATGTTTTACCTTGAATTGTCCATGAAATATTTGGAGCTTTATTTGGATACATTTTTTTCTTGAATACCTCTTTATCAGTCGAGGGACTCAGGTCATGGATGTCCCTTATTTTTATCTATGAAATATGGCAACCCTAGTTAAAATCCAACCTTCTTTCCCCTTTCCTGAGAGTAGGGATTACCAACACCTTGTGCTTGATCCAACATCTTTATTTCCAATGTAAAACACCTTATGAGCCAAGAACAGCCTCTGCTTAGGTTATTGTTAGCTTACCAATGTACACATGAGAATAGGGTGTGTAACTTTACATACTGTAAATCATGGATTTCAATCATGGATTTTGGAGGTTGAATCTTAGAAGAGCTGTTTCAATGTTCCACAGCCAAGATTAAATCCACACTGCTCCCTCTGACACTGAGGTTTGTCAGTCAGCTGTACTCTCCAGCATCATGGCATAGGCCTTCCCGGGGAGACTGAGATGTTTGTAGGGTTAGGGTTAGGGTAGGGTTTCCCTTACAACTGCAACACTCCCTGCTTCCCCTTTTTTATATAGGGAAACCACCACCCCAGTCTTCAAGTACAGGGGTAATGTTTAAGAGTTGTGTATGACACGAAAGCCTGACAACATCCAGAGATCTAAGGTACTCAGGACAGATCTCGTCAAACCACCAAATCCTTGCCACCGTGTCGATGTGGGACCCCTTGCTGACATAAGTCTGGGTGATGAACGAATCTGGCTCAAACCTCCTTGATACTCAAAATATTCCTTCCACCGTCCATAAATGTCCTAGGACATTATTTGAGGGATAGAAGCAGCATCTGTATGAATACATTGTTAGCAAGGCACCCCTTCTCCCTCCAGAGACATTGGATGGTTTTCTAGAATTGCTTTGAGGCCAACCTATAGTTCTTCGACATGGCCTCTTCAAACTCCTCACGGGCATGAGATTTTGCCTCTATGAACACCTGGCCAGCAGCATCTTTCACACAGTACTGGCTTGCTGCCTCAAAAGACCCACAAACAAGCAAGGCTCAACAGGACTCCTTCAACAGGACTCCTTCATCAGCTTGACAGCATCCCCTGCTGCTGGTGTCCACATACTGGTTTGGGGATAGTGGCCATGACAGGCAGAGCAGACCTTAGGGCCACAGAAACAGGCTACCAGATCGATAATGGAGGCAATTATTCTCCATGTAACCATCCTCCCCTGGAATCTGGAAAAAGCTCTCCTAGAGGTGGGAGTTGAACATGTCCCTAATCAAGGGTTTCACCAGATGTTCCCTGAAGATCCTCAGTAATCACTTGGCCCTGCTGAGTGTGTCCAGCCTCTTACTCTTTCAGCAAATCCAGCTCACCAGTAGGTGGTGGTCGGTGGACAGCTCAACCCCTCTCTTCACCGGAGTGTCCAAGACACATGGCCAAAGGTCAGAAGATGCGATTATGAGGTCAATTAACAACCTCTGGCCCAGGGTGTCCTGGTGTCAGGTGGACAGTAGTCCAACAATAAAACATTGTTTGGGTTCAGAGATGATGTTGCATTCCTCCTGATCATGCTCATCCAGGTATCACTGTCTCTTCCTACAAGGGCATTGAAGTCTACCAGCAGAATCCAACACTGCATCTCGCAGCAAGTTTCTTAGGATTTTATATATTTTTTTGTGAGTGATTTACTTAGAAACACGCTGTTATAGGTGCTCATGACCTGGCTATTTCATATCCCTGTTTATTGATATGGCAGCCATATTGGATTTCAAAGTTGGTGAGAAACTACAGACTTTGTTTTCAGAACACTGCTGAGGCAATTAAAGGAAAGAGTTTCTTGAATCCATTCAAAAGAATACACCATTCTTTTAAACAAAAACCCTTCAGTCTTATGTTTGACCAGTGTAGAAAGGTAAAGTTGAAAATCTTTTTTTTGACAGATCTGGTTGAGCTCAAGTTGGTTAAAAACATATCTTTAATCCTTACATCTCAAGGTTAAGGCAAGCTTAAAATAAAAGTCATCTAATGCGTTTGTATGAAATGAAACCTCAATACTGCACATAATCCCACACATAAACATCCTGCTTCTGGCACATGCGCTTTCACAGCATAAGGACATGCTTTCTGTCAAAAGTCGCAATTATTCCCCAGAGAGGACTGAAGTCAAATCCCAGTCTCTGTGTGTTTTTTCATCTGTTCTGCTTCGTGCAAAGGTCAAGGCTCACAAGAGTTCGGATATTCGAAGGTATGCAGCCATTGATGGTCATTTCAGTATGGACGGCCAGATAAGAATTGCTTTGCTTCTTTTACACTCATCAGTAGTGCAAAGCTGTCTTCTGCCCAATATTAGTGATTCTAGTTAGTGTTGATTTTGGCATAATTTATTGTTTAATCTCAATTACTACACAGAGAAGCACACAGTAAAACCAACTCTAACTACAAATGTTTAATCTGATTTGTCTAAAATATTTTGTTAATTGCAAAAACACATTTAAAAAAGAAATAAAAATATAGGAATTTGAGATCATGTGAAAAAGGATGCAATACAATAAATACAATAAAACCCTATATTTTATATTCTAAGTGAGAGGGTGTTGGCTTCCCTCCAAATACAGCAAATTTTTCTCCTCATGCAAGGAATTGGATCCAAAGCCAGCTGCATATGAAGAAACTTGTTTCATTAAGCTCACTCAATGAAACTTGTTTAAAGAGGGGTCAAATATTTGATTGTGACTGTCTTGATTGTTAACAACCATATAACTTATAAACAGATTTTCCTGGAATTGTTGTATCTTTTATTACAGTTTGGTAAACAATGAAGATTTATGCATTTGTGTTTTAGTGTTGTATTCTTTGAGCTGCTTTCATTTTGATCATAAAAAAAATCTTGATAAGAATTTAAATTCCAGAGGGTCCTCTCTGGCTAAATAATAAAACATTACATATATTTATTTACAACCGCAAAAATCACAACAATTATTTACCCAAATATTTACTGTTGTAGGGAAGTAAGGATGACGCAGATCAGAGAGATTCAGCAGCGTGATTTCACCAACCTTCAGCACCTCAGAAAGCTGTAAGTGTGTTTGTTTCTCATTATTTTTATTTGATGCTATTTATAATTACCTTAAGTGAGGCGGACCAAATACCTGGAGAGTCGAAGCCAAGAAGATTATGCTTTTTTTTTGTATTTGATGAAACAGATAAATCTTATGGATTATAAATAAACTGAAGCAATTTTCTTAATTAAAATGATTCAAACAGGCATGTTAATGCCCAGGCATAAAATCGTTCCCAGTCCGAGCCTACTGTAGGCATCTGGTTTGACAGTTCAGTCTGTGCCCAAAGAACGAGGGTGATTTCAGCCGGTCATTTGATACAGCACAGCGGACACTGAGAGAGAGTGCCAGATGCAGAAGCCTAGAAGGCTGCAGAGCTGTCAGGAGATCAGATCCGAGAAGTGGAGAGGCAGATCTAAGTTCAGTCCACAGAAGAATCAAACAGGAGTCTGAAGACAGGTCAGGCAAACCGATCAGACAGGGGCAGGAAGGCTCAAAGGTCTGAATACAGAAATGGATCAGGCAATCAGAACACTATTGAAACGCTAGAGAACTATCAACACCAAAGGCTCAAGAATAATCTGGCATGCATCGCATGGAAACAGGCAGCATAAATAGGTGCTGGAACAGGTGGATCAGATGAGCAGTGATGAGAAACAGGGCAGAGCTAGACAGGTGAATGAAATTAGCAATCAAGCCAGCCATCAGCACCAAAATCATCTCATTAATCAGAACATCTTTAAAACGCTTATATAATTTTTTTGTCAAAATTACATTTGCTAAACAGTGATGTATTTTTCAGTGTTTGTGTTACCGTAATCTAACAGTTTTACTGAAAATCAGAGTATAACATAACTAAAAGAAAAGCAAAAACAAATCAGTGCAGAAATTCCCATCTTCCAAAAGCAAAATAAAATGAGAGCATGTAGATAAATACATACACAAACTTCACAAAAATAGACAACTACACAGTAAGAGTAAATTTGTAACAAGAAAAAGCCTATCTTCCTTTGGATGTAAGATCGGTGGACTATCTTTGGTCTTTCTGTTTGCTTTTCTTTGCACTCTCTTCATTAAAATCTCTAAAGATTTGTTTACTTTATTACATACTTACACCCTGGACAGGTAGGAAGTTCATCACCAGAGAGCTGACAACTGTGCCACAGTTCCACCTTTTGTGTCAATAACTTTTGGATTATGTTTTAAACACAGCAATTTACCTATAAGGACTCCCTTATGTTTACAGAATCAGATGGATAGACCATGCTCCCGTTGAGAAAATCTAAAAAAAAAAACAATTTTTGACTGTTTTTTCAGCAGCGTCATTTTGAGAGTATCATTGTGTCCTGCTTCATTAATATTTTTATTTCCTTTCTGTCCATCCATTTTTTATTTTAGTTACATCATACAGAACAACATCCTGCAGAGCATTGATTCTTATGCCTTTGCCGGTCTGTCTGGGCTCTCTGATGTGTGAGTATACAGATTTGGTTGCAAACCTATTTTCTCCAAAACACTGATTTGTCTAGTGTCTGTGCTGGGACAAAAATAGCTAAAAAAAAAAATGACTAGATTCCTCATGAGAGCAAATGTCCAAATCATGAAGAGAAAATATGTTTAACAACTGCAAATGAACCCCTGAGACATTTTTTTCATGTTTTTTTTTTTTTCTTTTCAGGTACATATCCGAAAATCTTGCTTTAGAAACAATAGGAGCTTTTGTTTTCTCTAATCTCCCAGAGCTCACTGAAATGTAAGTATATCTGACAGTTACTATTGGTATATTCGATTTTTTTAAGTGTGCAACTAATAAAACCCTACTTTCAGAGCGATAACTAAGTCTAAACACCTGAGATCCATCCATCCAGATGCTTTTAGAAACATGGTGAACCTTCAACATCTGTGAGTGCTTGCACATTTTTTTTCTCTTTGATGCTTTTTTAAAACTGATTGTGAGTTCAAAGTAGGTCATAGATGATGGGTCGACAACTCTGGACCGAAACAACCACATACATGATTATTTAAATAGCCTAGATCCCCTGATGGCCACTGATGTGTCAAACATGTTGCCACAATTAGATGCTGCTTTTTAATAACCCTTAACTTCATGTTTGTAACACTAATAGTATTTCATCTAATTTTATTTATATATATATATATAAATATATATCTTTTCAAAGAAGCCCCAAGTAGCCTTTTATGAGATTCAGTGCATTGCTATAGTCTCTTGGGACTACTATGCTCTGTACTGTTTCACTTGACCCATTTTGTGAAAACTGGGACACAAAAACTCTGCTTTATGTGTTAGCAAAAATATATTTTAAACAGTTTGTTAAAAAAAGAGGAACCTTAGCACAACAACAAGACATAAATCAGTGACAGTAAGATATTCTTAATTTGATGGTGTTTTTATTGTTGAAAGTACAGTAAAAAAAAAGCTAAAATCTCTGTCTAAGTACAAATGCAAAGGTTGCTTGGTGCTTGAATTTATCCTCTATTTATCTTCAATTTTAAGGCAGTCTGAGTTATTATAAGAATTAGCAAAATGAGTTACAAGATTTTCACAGTGATTCTCAGGGTTCATTTTTCACCACAAATGGAGTTTTAGGAGGAAGCCAAAAAATTTAATTTATTTATGTGATCCAAGCACCTTCTTTCATGTTTTTGGGACCTTAAATCGCTTGTGGGAAATGGTGCATGTTACTTATCAAGTGTTTCTTTAAAGGAAAAAAAAAATGCTTTCTCTTCCATAAAGGACAGATTTGAGACTAATAATTGGCCTGTCAACAGGTTTTTCTACAGTAGTTGAGCCCCCTGGCAGCTTCTATAATTTTTCTTTGCAAACTAGATAAAAAAATTACAAGTAGTCAATCTAGTCACTTAAAAAAAAAAAATAAATAAATACAAGAACAAATTAGAAATAAATGTTTTCATCTCAATAAAAAGGCTTCATTACAAAGCTCCATCTGCTATTTTGGCCACAAAGCAACTTAGCCATTGTTCTTACCTCAACCAAGTGTCTGTTTCACGAAGCAGGTTTATTGAATACTCTAAGTTCTCTAAACCTGAATAGGAATTCCTTTAGGATTAGGATTCACTTGATATAACAACCTATTGAGCCTACTGGCACAATCTGAACACGTTCTATGGGCCTGATACCCACTAATAACGACCATTTATTGGGATGACAACATCTGAAGCATGGCTGCAAACAGCCACTTAGTATTTACTGTGTAAAAGAAGACTGAATCAACATGAGGAAGGACGCATGAGATGATCCACAGTTTCTATAGTTGTTCTATATATTAGAATGTTTTTAGACTTCATTTTCACCTGCTGCCAGAAGATTTCACCTAAATAGATACATTGATCTACTACCATTCAAGAAATAATACCATATTATTCAAGAAATACCCTAATCCTTGCTGTCACAACATACTATGGCAAGGTGTTTTGATATGTACTAGTTTTACTGAATATGTGTTCCTGATATCTGAAAAAAAAACTTTTTTTTTTGTTTAAATTACCATTTGAAAGAAAATATAATTCTCCACATCTAGAATAAACATTCTGCATGTCTAGAAATTATTTTCAGATCTCCAGATTCCTAATATTACTGGTCAGCATTTGGATTATTTTGTCTGTAAGGAAATATA